AAAGTAGATGATTACTTAATATGGTCATGTTCATGCATTTAAATTCAAAAGTTCTAATTTGGGTAGAATAAAGCAGTTAAGAGTAAAAGAAAGGATAAGAAATTCACAGGCTCCTGCTTAACTCACTGTTCTCCCAAAACAATGTAAGGTTGCTTGTAACATTAGGTCATGCTTTATTTAAACAGTCCAATCCTCAAGGGATTGCTAGTTCTTCCTCAGTTGAAGCTTCAGATACTTTGAGAAAAATTAGACTTAATATTGAGTCACACCAAGGTTTTTGTTAAATCATATTTAAAAAGGGGACAGGAGCTACATTCAAAAGAACCACCTCATAAAAGAAGGACAAATCTTTAAATCCCTTTTCTGCTTTTGTTCTTTGTAATAAATTCCTGTCATTTCTCAAGAGAGACTTTAAATTTCCACCATTAAAATGTGCCCTACTACCTTCTTTCCCTTGCAATACTACGATAGGACATATGATACTGACTTCATGCTACTATGAACTAAACCGTAAAGATTTTATTTTCTCATCTCTGGTTATAACTGTTATTGCAGAGAATTCCTGTGAGTGGTTAGCGCATTTAAAAATCTATTTTGTAGTAATCTTATAAGGAGGCTGACTAAGTAGATGTAAAATAAATCTAGAGGCCATTTCTCCAAATATAGGTCAGTATCTAAATTTGTTAACCTACAGAAGTACAGGTATGTGTGCTGGGCTCCTCTATCTTATCAGGGTAAAATCGACCTGAAGTACCACAGCCTCACTAAGACATCTACCTTGCCTGGGATACGAATTCTCAACAAGGTCTTGAAATGTTAAAAAGAACTATGTGGAAAAAGTAGTAATATCAAGTGGCTCAGAATTTTTAATCACATTAATATTACCTCCTATCAATTTATTTAATATCTCTCTACTTGGCATATATATGAAATATTGGGCATATATTAATAATTGACACAACTCAGATTCATCAGTATTGTCCCTAATTCTAATGCTGTTTCTTTCCCACAGATATAAAAACAATAATTTTAAACTTCTGGGATAATATTAAACATGTTTAAAAAGTCATTAAAGATTTGGTTATTAAATATAAGTTAGAGTTCAATATTTTAAGTAAACGTAAAAATTATGTAAGATTGGGCTTCAAGGGATAAGTTTGTCAGAAATTACAGTAAATTGTCTCTAAATATTTCTAAGATCATGAACATGTAATGAGTAGTTTTCCAGCTATTATTCATATAGTTATTGTTAAACTAAAAGAAAGTATCCTCCCTTTACAAATTAACTTATAACAATAGATTCCAGAAAGCCTACATTTTAGTTCATCTTTTAAATACTAGTTGCAACTGTTCTCATAAAGAGGAAGTTATAAACATATTAAAGAAATGCCTTAATTTATAAGGTTCTATTACTTAATGAAACAGCTTTGATAGTTTTTCTCAATCACTCCAAAAAATAGAACAGAAAAATCCAAAAGAAATATCTCAGTATGTAATATAGATGCACAATATGTTTGTTGCCCTAATATCTTATAAACAAAATGTTTACTCCTTTACTCCTACCTACCACACAGACTTCAAGTTTAGTGGTTTCAAGTTAAAAAGTCATCTAGTAGGATTTCTGATATATATCTTGAAGATGCAACTAAATATCCACATAGTAGCAATATATTAAAATATCTGTTATAAATAATATTTACAAAGGACACACTCCTCTAAAATTTATTTTTTTACATTTATCAAATATTGATTATGAAGGACAGTCATTTTTATCAAAATTTTACCTTTCAAGTGGAAAGAGTATTTCTGTTTACATGAATTGAATGGCTGCTTTCGGATTCTGCTTCAAACATTAAAGGTTGAATTACTTATTGCAGAAAAACTTGAAGTATTTAATAATTTTAAAATAATGGATTTTTCAGAGTATAGTTTTTAAAAATTCAAGATTTAACCATAGGCATTTAGTTACATATAGATATAACTAGTTGTGGGAAATAGAACTGAAAAGTAATTATAAATTATAAAATGTATTCTTGTTAACTGACAGTTTTGCTGGACCAGAAAATATTATTATAAATAAAATCTATAATAAATAAAGGCAAATCTACAGTAATAAATTGTCAAGAACTTCTGATATTCAGAGGTACAGTGAGCACAACAATGGACAACAAATCTCAATTGTAATTTGGAATTTATCACTAGCTGAGTAACATTACTTAAGTAATCACCTTCCCAAACCTGTTTTCAAATTATGTAAAATAAATCTGCATACTGCTCTATAATATAATGGGTATAATATTTAAACATGTAATTATCACCTTTGGTTTTCCCTCTGACCTCAAGTATCCTCCCCTTCTTCCAATGCCTGGCCTATCTGGAATTACTTAGCCCTAATATAAACTTATGATACCTAATTTCAAAGATCTTTCACAATATATTCTTATCTCATAGCATACTTTCCTCATAATGGCTATTATATACTTTGTCCTTCTCCTGAACCATTCATCTACCTTTCAACTGGCATTCCTCATTACTTAAAAGAAACCAGAATGAGCTTCCTTATCTACCACAATTGACTTCATTACACCTTTTTCAGTTTTCCAAATCAGTCCCCCCCCCCCCCACCCCCAATCTTTGCATTCTTTTCACTGTAGACAAAACTGTGAACTCCAACTCAGAAGACTCCTCACAGCCTAGGTCTTAACACGCTAAAGTTGTACCTTTCCACCACTCCAGTGTCATCCTGTTTCCTCTGTAATCCCATCTCAAATTTCTCTGCCTTTTCAAACTCCTTTTTATTCTTTGACACAAGCCAATCCCCCTTAAGTAGCTGGGGTATGTGAGTCTCTCTGATCTAACTTGAATTTCTCTCCTTTGTAGATTCAAAATTCCAAATCAGCAGTTTCCACACTTCATAACACCTTTCTTTTTACCTAACCAGCCTCTTTACCTTTAGGAAATAATGACTTTGCTCTCACCATGTAACTGAAACTAACTTTTAAAATTTCCAATAATCTCCCATTTAAAAAGTTACTTATTATAATATATTTTTTCTCTGGGTATTTGATCCTTTTTAGTATATTTCCTCATACTTCCTCTCCTTATTTTCTGACAGAAAAAAATTACTGATTTCCTTTTTGTCATTATGACTTATAAAGAGTAGCTACTAGGAATAAGGTACAGTTTTACTCAGTTTTTACTCACAGTATCCTTTGAAGTAAATATTAATAGCCCCATGTAATAAGTAAAGAAACTGAGGTACAGAGAAGCAAAACAACTGCCCCCAAATACCCAGCTGGTAATTTTAAAAAGCCAGGACTTGAATCCTGACAGTCCTGCTTCAGATCCTGTGCATTTACCATAATGCTTCTCACTTACTTTTTCTGATACCTGCTTCTGTAGTTCATTTGTTTGCTTCTTTTTTTCTCTCCTACTGTGAAGATG